TTTACAGTACCAATCATCAGTACGACTCCAGAGAAAAAAGAGAATGCACACAACCCACTGTACTGCGGAGGACCCCCAACCTGAAATCAAAAAAACAAAAAAAAATTAAAAACAGAATCAGCTGCCACAGCACATACAGTACTACAAAAGTACATCCTTCCATAGTCACGTATAGGAAATTATTAATATATATATGTGTATATATATATTTATATATTTGCTTTTACTTTTCCTCTCTGGACAAAAACAATCCAAACAAACGCAAATCAAACAAAAAGAAATTAACAAATAGCCCATGTTCTACAGAAAACGGCCAAATACAACTACTATCAATGTAAAACGTTATATACTTAATATATGTATAACAGTGTATCTGTTATATATATTTTTTCTCTCATGGCACAAGGCAAGCTGTCATTGGAGGAAAGAAAAGCACACAACATCCCAAAAACACACACACACAATGGAGTAGCAATAATAATAATTATTATTATAGGATAAACACAAACAAAAAACAATAACATTAACAAACGAAATCCCAACAGTAAAAGATCAGTTAGATTGTAGGTATGCATGAAAAAAGAAAAGAAAACAAAGTATGACCTGAGTCACACCATCACACCATCACCACTACAATCAGCATACAAGAATACAGGCCAGTGTAACCACAATCAGTAGTGGTACACGTACCCACACAGAAATGCTGATACTGCTGCTGCTGTCTGCATCACTCTTCACATTTGGTTCAGCATTAGCGGCAGTGCGGAATTTCACAGGACTCCTTGAAGTTGAAGTGTATTTCCCTCTTCATCCTCCTCGTATTCCTCATCCTCATATTCATCCTCAAGATCATTATCTTCCTCATCGCTCCCATTCCCAACATCTTCAAGACGTCTCACACCCACAAGAATAGCATGATAAACAAGAGGAGGAACACCAACAGTGGAAGTTTTAAAAAAGGGCATCAGAAGCTTTAGGCCCATCAGCCCATACCAACCCACAAGCACAACAGAGTGCAAGAGTTAATAAACAAAGCAGGTATCACCTCACCATTACAGCACTAGTCATTGTTGTTGTTTACTTCAATAGACTGATACAAGAAAGAAAGACGCAGAGAAGAAAAAAAAGAGATACACACATAATGAGTGGATGCAGGGCACAAATACTCACAGTGGGATAGAGAGAAGCGGCAACTGCACAGTAAAGCAAGAAAAAAGGAATGGACCAGTTGCTTAATAATATGTATCCATTAATAGAAAAAAAAGAACACCTCACAATACCCAAATAAGAGAGAGAGCCAAACACCCACAATACCCCATGGCTCTAGTTTATGTATATTAAATTACTTCACACACACATATCTGTGTGTACTAGCAAGAGATGTATACCGTCAGTGAGCAGAACAGCCCAGTTTTCTGCAAACGCACACAACGGAAAAAGCAAGTAATGGAATTAAAAGAACACAAACACACAAAAAAGTAAAAGAAAAGAAACTCGAATTAAAAGAGAAAGCTGTTAAACAGATTATTAGTTTATTCACCCATGAGGGATGTACGCAAATATGATTATGTTAGGATAACCATTATTATTATTTGACCTCAGATGAGTTCCATCGTTCAGTACACGGTAGCAGAGACAAAGACAGCCACAATCAGCAGCGGTGCTGCAGTGCGCATCCACACAGGACTGATACTGCTGTCAACATTAGCCTTCTTCTGTACAGTGGAAACGACGTTGCCAATCTGTGGGTCGGTCACGAGAACAGGAGATAGCGTGGTGGATGGTGCTTCTGTGGTAGTGTTCTCGGTGCTCGGCGGAGTAGTGGAATTGGTTTCTTCTGAGTCAGCTGCAGTCGCATCAAGAACAGTTGCAGGAGATTGCTGGGTAGCGTTAGAATTATCGGGTGTACTGTTATTAGCTGTGTCTGCACCAGAGGTACTGTTACCTGTACTCTCGTTAGTGGATGCTGGTGAGGTTGTACTGCTCTCTGCAGTAGAACCTTGAGTTTGGAGTTTTGTGCTGGTAACTGTTGGTGTTTCTACGCTGGAAGCAGAGACTTCTCGTGCGGCAGTAATGGTGGTGTCAGAAAGAGAAGAAGTCCCAGATGAACCCTGAGGCGCTGAAGGGTCCTCTGGGGAACTTAATGTACCAACACGGCGGTCGCTGCTAACAGAGTCTTGATGTGGAATTTCACCAGCAGGACGTTGGACTTGTACCCCTTGAGCATCACTTCTTCTTTCTTCGACTTCGCTCCCCACATGGTCTCCTGAGCTTTGTACACGTTTCATTTCTTCCTCCACCTTTTGAGATTTTAACCACACCGAACATTTTCTTCCTTCGACTTCACCTTCAGGGTTGGAATCCTTCGTACACTCATCTTTCACCCTTTTGTCCCTATCACTCCCTGAAAGAAGAGGAAAACCCTCCCAATCATCATGAAGACGTATCCCTGAACTTCGATCAACAGAATCACGACTATCTCCATTCGCCATCACTGCCTTTGGCTGTCCAGCAGTAGTAGCAATGGTTGTTCTTGTTGTTGCTGCTCTTGTTGCGGTACGCTGGCGGCAGAGGTCTGCGTACTTCCCACATGCAGACACACGGCTGCCCGCACCGCATGTAAGCCACTCGCTCTCCGCAGCGGGGCGTACACGCAGCGCACCGCCGGCCCCGCACGACACCTCCACAGCCCCACGGGATACACCACGGCCACTGGGACTGTCATTATCAACAGCAGCAGCAGCCGTCATGGTATACCCGCAGGCACAGCACAGCACAACGGCCAACACACACATCACACGGCGCATCATCATCATCATGAGAGAGAGACAAGGGTTTGTTGCACGTAAAAATACTGATCTAGAAAGAAAGACAATCAAAAAGGAAAAAAGAAAATAAATGAAGTATCAAACATGTTACGGCACACAATCCATTACCACAAAAGAAACTCACATATCACAAAGGAAATACCTACGAGTTAAAGAATGCAATGCAGCGCAATAACCTCAGTAAGAGTAAAAACACAAAAAAAAAGCCCACACTCACAAATATCTCAAAATAGGTTGAACCACCCAGCAAAATCATCAAGCAAATAAAAAGATATTAACCATTAGCCCAATTTACACAGTAAACACAGAAATATACACCAACTATGGGTGTAAGTCTATATGTGCGTATATACAAGCAATTATAAATATAAATTCATCTCTTATTATTATTATTATTATTATTATTTCATTTTTTCACTATAAAAAGTAGTTCATCATCATTATCACAGTGCAAGCCCAGGTGCACACAGAGAGAGAGAGAGTCTCCAAGAACACACACACACACACACACAATGGAGTAGCAATAATAATAATTATAGGATAAACACAGAGAGCAAAAACACACACAAAACACATTAACATTAAGAAACAAAAAAAAAAGAGAAAATCCCAACACGTGGAAGATTAGTTAGACTGTAGGGATGTATGCAAAAAGAAAAAAAAAAAAACAAAGGATGACCTGAGTCACACCAACACCATTAGCACAATCAGCACACAAGAATACAGGCCAGTGTAACCACAATCAGTAGTGGCAGACGCACCAACACAGAACTGCTGATACTGCTGCTGCTGTCTGCATCACCCTTCTTGTTGTTTGTGAGTTCAGGAGGAAGTGTTGTTGTTGTTGTTGTTGTTGTAGTAATGGTGGTGGGTGTATCTGCATTTCCCACATCACCTGTGTTGTTTGTGACCTCACTCTCCTCATTTGTGGCAATATTTTCACTCGCTCCGGTATCAGTTTCACTGGCATTCTCTGTTTCCGAATTGCTGGATTGGGTTACAGAAGAAGAAGGCTGTGTGTTTCGATCTTCTTGAGATTGTGTATTACTTCCCTGTGCCTGTCGGTCTGGTGTTTCTTGTCCCGTGCCACTGGTGTCCTGTGTTCTTCCAGGTGTATCTGTTTCTGGTCCACTGACAGATTGTTGTTGGCTCGTTTTGTTACCTTCCGGACCCCCTTCTTGTTCCTTTTCCTCACTTAGTCCAGTTTGTTCTCTGATCTGTCCTGCCGTGGAATCACCATGACCACTTCCAGGTTGTTTTGTATTGGTTTGCAATTGTGATTTGCTGTCAGGTTGTTCTTCCTGTACACTTTGAACTACTGTAGGTAGGGCCGCCACTGCTGATGTTTTGCAGGGTTCCTTCTCTCCTCCTTCACGAAGTGTTGCATCACAATGTTCACCTTCCTCAGAAACTTTCAACGATTCTTTATCT